ACTGAGCACGCGTGTTTCTCGGCAATAGCAAGCCAACTCACCACGTGCTTTTCAGGGCTTCCCTCCACTAAAAATGTGCAAAACTCTCGAAAAAAAAAAAAAGAAAGTGCAAAACTAGAATGAATCTTCTGCTAGAACATGGAACCGTACGCCACCATATGTTTTGTCTTGTGTGCAAGTGTTGACGAGTGAAGCAAGGCCCTAAGGGCCACTTGTCGTAGGGAAAGGAAACAAAAGAAAGAGGGGAATGAATCTTCTGCTAGAACATGGAACACATACGCTGCCATATGTTTTGTCTTTTGTGCTGATCACGAGTGGAGCAAGGCCCTTAGGGCCACTGCTCGTAGGAAAAAGAAACAAAAGAAAGAGAGCTACGGTAGTAAGTAGTTGTAACTTGTAACCCATAACTGCTTGAAAGCAGACCTGACTTCGGATCCAGAACATATATTGCTGGCCTGCTCTACCTCTAAATGGAATTTGCTGAACATCTCTTGAGATGTTGGGACCCTTGCATATGTACTGCTAGGGTCCTCCGCGAAAAAGACTATTCAAGAAGGAATACGTGGGCCCTATTTTTTTTTTGTGGGGAGGTGAACCATTGGCTACGTCAGCCAGCCTTATCCAAATTTTTTTGTGTACCCTATTTTGTGGGGCGTGTCGCATCACGTGCGCGTGCATACTTCCACGTGCGTTATGCGTCGCACGTGCGGAGCTCGCGCGGACGCGATACGCCGCAGGTATGGGTTGGAGTATAGGTGGAGTATAGGGGTGATATAGGGGATATTGGGGGAGTTAATAAGGACGTTGGGGGTGGTTCGGGAGTGTTAGGTTGGTGTATGTGGGTATTGGGGGCAGCTATGGGGTGTGGGTGGGGTTATTAGGGGTTCTGGATACCCAAAAAAAAAAAGAAAAAAGGTACGGGGTGCCGATGATCCCCGACTGCTAGGTGCTGACCAGCCGATCGGTCGGCGGGTCGGCAGCCGACCAGTCAAGGGCCGCCGACCGTCGGGGTGTGCAACACTGCTTTCAGGTAAGTAGCAGCTACGACCTTGACCCTTCAGGCAGCCTACAGCAACGACCTCTGAACTGTCTAGACTACTACCCTACAGGTCTACAGTTCGATTCCCTTCTACCCTGTGACCTACGAAAACCTACCTACCACTGGCGGTCCTACAGGTCGTAGGTTCAAATCTACAGGTTGACACTGGTACTGTACACAGGTAAGATGGGGAACTAGGGATTTAAAAGGGCCTTTACCCGATGTAGGCCTCAGGCCTTGTAAAAGTAAAGCATTGTGAAAAGGTATCTCGCCAGGGCTCAGAAACGTGAAAGCAGGTCAAAGGTCAAGTTCTCTATCAACAGGCACATCTAAATCTAAGACAAAGGGCATTGTCAAAAGACTTACCTGTTCGCCAGGAGATGTGTATGTCATGACTGTTCCGGTAAGAGTGTGTCTGTACGTGCAGGCAGTGTACCTGTTCGTGCAAAGGAAAGTGTCTGTTCAAGCAGTAAATGTGTCTGTTCGTTTGGAGTTGTGCCTGTCCGAAAGTAAAGTCAATAGGCACAGTCCCAGTTCTGGTCTAAGTCAAGGGGTCAGTCCAGATCCAGACTTTCAAGTCCAAATCCAGGCCGAGAGGCCTCGGCAGCAGTTGAACTTCATTGGGACTCTACTGGGACACATACAATGCAGGGTCTGGGACAAAGGAAAGGCCAAATTGAGCCAATGCAGGCCCAGCGAGGAGTGGCCAGCATACTTCCGATGCGACACGCCCCACACGTGCGACGCATAACGTGCGCGTCGCATCACGTGCGCGATATACTTCCCACAAAGTATGTACCGGTTCCCCCAGCAAGTGCCGCTCCCGATGAATATATCGGAGCAGTGCTGTTCCCCTTCCCTCCCCCCTCCTCCCTTAAACGAGCCAATCTGCAGATGTCGGCCGAACAGTGCTACCGGACCGAAATGGCTGGCGACGCCAACTGAAAGAAAAGAAAGAACACTGAGCTGGCATTCTGGCAAAGCTTGGCGCGCAGGTGTCAATCCACTTTGGGCAAAAGAGCCTTGGATGTACTGGTGGTTTAAGAAGCAGACAGTGAAACTTACAGTTCAACATCTCAAGTTATGTGTGCAACTTTAGTTCTCTTGCTTGCTATCACCGGTGCAGTTCTTGGTATAATCATGGGTTGTCGGCGCATTGACGCTGGGTAGGGAAGTTGGGTAACTTCATATTCAATGCATGGATTCTGTGGTTCAAATGCGAAAACAATTTGAAACAGCTATTCTGACTTTTCTTTACAGTTTGGGGGTTGTTGTTATGCCCTGTGTTTTCTGCTTCAGTCAGCGAGCACTCGTTGATGGCAGTCTGTGCTTGTTTGTCTGTCTCCTCACAATGATTCTTTGCTGTTTTTGACAGATTGTTGAGGCCGAGAACATCGGCAATAGAAATCCTCGCTTTGCAAACACTCGAGAGCGGGCTTGGGAGCGTGAGCGTGTAAAGAACCAAGAGGCTGGGAAGGGTGATGACAGTAGTGAAGCTGGTGTTGGGGATGATGTTGGGGGAATAAACAGTGGAAGCGACACCGAGCTCCCTGATGGGAGTGCCATGGTTCATAATGGTGCAAAAGACGTGCGGGATGTCGTTACGCCATTATGGAGAGTGAGCTATGATGAGCAGATCAGAACGAAAGAGGCCTCAGTGGTCGATGCTTTAAAAAAAATTGTAAGTTCAGAACATATTCAAACTAGCATAACGAAATCGATCTTTCCCTTTTCCATGACATCTCTGTCTTTCTTTGAACAAAAATATTGAGTAGGAAACATGGCTGCCTGTAGCTGCTACATGCTGGAAGGGTCATTGGGGGCGGGAAGGAGATGAGGGAAAATGCGGTGCGGAGAGCTGACTTGAATGAGGTGTAAAATGTGATTCTATCTGTTGGAGGAAGCATTATCCAGTTAGTATGATGACACGAAAAGCAGTGCCCTGATCTCATTTTCATTTTCATGGTCATACACGGCTGTGCTTCTCAATTATTATCACCACCACCTCTGTGAGTCATCATTATGGTCTTGATCATCATCATCATCGTCCCGATCATCATCATCATGGTCCTGATCATCATCATCATTGTCCTGATCATCATCACCATGGTCATCCTGATCATCGTCATTATGGTCATAATTATCGTTGTGGTCATAATCATCGTACTGATCATCATGATCTCATCCTCATCCTCATCCTCATCATCAGCATCAGCATCGTCATCATCACTGTCATAGTCATCGTCCTGATTATTTCAACTTGTTTATAGTATTGGTTCTTCTTGTCGTCGTTTCACCAGTTCGCAGTAGCTGATGCAGATCCCAGTGCTCGATCCCTAGTTCCCCACCTTACCTGTGTACAGTACCTGTGTCAACCCGTAGATTTGAACCTGCGACCTGTAGGACCGCCAGTGGTAGGTAGGATCTCGTAGGTTACAGGATATAGGGGATTCAAACTGTAGACCTGTCGGGTAGGAGTCTAGACAGTCCAGAGGTCGTAGCTGTAGACTGTCCGAAGGGTCAAAGTCGTAGCTGCTACTTACCTGAAAGGGCACAGTCGTAGCTGCTACAGTACCGAAAGGCCAGGTAGAGGATTCTAGAAGTGGCCTTTCGGAAGTCAGCCCACTGTAGGTCTAGGCAAGTGGGCAAGTGGTGGAAGTCCACCACGCAGAGTCAGCAGTCCCAGTCCAGCCAGTCCGGTCCAGTCAAGCAAGTACCGTCTGGGACTGTGTACACCGTGGGCCAGGGAAACAGGGCAGACCAACGAGTCACAGAAGTATAAATCAAGAGGCTGCGCACAGCCATTCATTCATTCCTGCGGAAGCCATGTGGAAGCGCTGCCTCAGCGTCTTGTGCGAGGAGGTCTGCAGTGAGCCCGAAGTCGAAGTGGGCAGAGAAGCGTAGTATAGCGATAGGGTAGAGGCAGCTAGCGCTGCCATAGCTATAGTAGTGTGTGTGTGTGTGTGTGTTGTGTGAGTGTGCAGAGTGTCGTGTGTGGGATATCCAGGGAGATCCAGTGTGTGAACAGTGGGATGTTGGGCGCTGAGTCGCCATAGCCAGTGGAAGTGAACTCTTACCTGGGAGCCATATCTCTGAGTACTGTGTGGGCGCATGTCGGCAGTTTGTTGTGCTGCTGTTCACGTGCATGAAAAGTGTGAATAAGTCGAGTCTGATTGCAGTCGTCATCATCATCTTTGTCGCCGTTGTCGGCGGATCATCGTCGTCGTCGTTGTCGTCGTCGTCATCATCATCATCATCATCATCATCATCATCATCATCATCATCATGACATCATCATCATCATCATCGACATCATCATCATCATCACCATCGTCATCATCATCATGCATGCCCCTGATCAACCATTCTTTCTGCAGTCCGTCTTTTGTTTTGCAGGCCAATGCAGTTGTTGGTGGAAGCTCGTTTTTCCATGTTCCCCAGTCGCTGACCACGCGTTTGAACTCGTCAGTGATCAACTCGTCCTGGATTCAGGCATTGGTGGGAGCAGCACTGTACTCTGGTGTGTTCTACATTGGGGTGTAGTATGGGCTAGGGTAGAGGATGAAGCAGTGATCACATAAGCTGGTAGTGAGACCAGCAATGGCAGAGAGCTATCATCGTTGTTGTATTGGTTGTTGGGAGACGAGAAGTGGGGGGGTCTTCATCAAGAGGCTACAACATTGTCCATTCTTGTGCTGGTGTGATCATTGCTTTTTCATTTCTGCTCATTTTGCCTTGTGAATGCGCTTGTTACAGGAGCGCATTGTGCTTACAAAAAAATGGAGTCTCTCCAGTGCGGTTTCCTCAAATGTAATAAATATGATCATATCTTTAGTTTGTTTGTGTCATATTTTTTTGTCATCCTAAATTCCTAATCCTTTTTATTAAACTTGGGTTTGTTGTGTGAGGTAGTGACCAAGTAACTAAGGTTTGTTTTGCTAGTTAGTGGCCAACTGACTTGGGTTTGTTTTGTCAGTTTACTGGGTAACTTCTTGACTGACATTATGATTCTGTGAAGATTTTCTGATGGATGAATAATGATAATATATTCGATTTAATGTGTGTGGGACCTGTGGGTCACAAATGGGGATGGTGGAGGATCTTGTGAGGGAGGATGGGTATGCTCTCTGGCTTGTTAATCGGGGTCCAACCTTGTGTTCTTGCAGGTACGGAAGTCTCGGAAATGTTGCCAGAGGGGCCAATTACTGCCTGACTGGATCTACTCTTCCCGGGATCGAGGTAAGCATCTGTGTAATTGTGTCCATATTGCCCATTCTGTACTGTTCGAGCCATGGATTAATGTCACACCCCACCAACGATACAATCTTCTCCTGATTGATGAGTGACACCATTGATGTCACGTGGGAATGCTCCACTCATTCAGAAGTGCGATTGCCTGCTTTTTCAGATATCTTATCCACGTGGCCTAGTCGTAGAGTCGCAGCGCAGCTGTCTCTCCTTTCCCAGGCAGAGCTGTTGAGGTGGCATTTCTCAACCTCATGCAGTTGAATGAAGGCTGATTGAAATGTCGGTTGGCAATCATCATCCTAAATTTGTTGACTCCCTGTCTTTGTTTCCTTGTCTGCTTCTGGGTGCATATTCTCCAAATGAAGAAACCATTATGTCAGAAATGATGCAGGAGGAGGAGGAGGAGGAGGAGGAGAAGCTGTACGAGAGTAAGGATGAGATACCGAGAGTGAAACCAGTAATGGAAGTAGTCAGAGAGCGACAATAATATGGGATCTGCAAATGGGAGAGGAGGAAGAGGAGAACAATAATAATGAGGATAGAATGAATAAAGTTATTTAAAAGTTAAATGTATCGACTAATAAACTAGGCTACCAGCCGGGGCCGCCTGGGTCACCTTGTTTGCCAGGGCTGCCCGGCCGTGCAAGGACCATAGAAGGTCCCAGAAAAAAACAAAAAATCCAAAAATTCTGAAGAAAAAGCATGTTATGCAGAAAAATAAACCGAACAACTTTTGCCTCAGGGTCACATCAGAATTCTTTACCAAATTTAAAATAAAAGAAATAAAAAAAACATTTTTTTTTTTTTAATCTTATTTTTTTTGGCCTGGCCGGGCAAGTGGTCCCAGGCCACTCTGGTAGCCTAGCTAATAAATGAATATATTGCAATGAGCCCACATTTCACACAACATCTCACAGCTCATTGACGTCACACTTCATCACGCAAAAGCTCACACCAGAGATGCAAAACAACATCAGATATGAGCACTATGGACGTTGTCTGGAAAGCAATGTCTTATGCATCAAATTCGTACTTAGGTCACGGCTGTGGCAGCCAACAACACCACTCAGGTATGAACTCTCTCTCTCCCCCTATTCTAGATCCTAAGGCTTCACTCTCTCTCTAAAAGTCTTCCTTACTCTCTCTGTGCTACGTCTACGGCGCCCAGTGCCATCGGCTGAGCGCCTTCACCGCAGCAGCGCAATCCACAACAAGCTCAAATGGAGAAGATGTTGATGCTTTACTGGAGTAGGACTTTTGTATGTGGCGTTGTGGTTACCGATCTCGGACTTCTGGTCTGGTAACTTCAATTGCTGTTCACGGGTGTTCTTCGACACCTTTGAAATGGGCACTAACTTTCTCTGGACTGAGCTGCTGACTGGACTGGACTGATTAACTGGGCTGATTGACTGAACCAACCGACAGACTGGACTACGGGGCCCTTATGGACCTACCCCCTATAGACTTAGCTACCCTACCTACCAGACTGAACCTATGGTACATGGAACTCCCGGAGCAGGATTAAGACGAAGCGCTGATATGCGTGAAATCCTTTCACTCCCGCCGGCCTAAGTTCGAGGTCTGCGAGAAAGCTACGAACTTTCTCGCCTGTCAAACACACCTCTGAGCTTGCTCATAATGTGAGACTCTTCCACGGGCTGTCTCACTTAACTCCGCTTTTGTAAGCCATAGGTCATCCTACGGTTCTTGATACTGTAATTGAACTTTGGAAACCCTCTGTGCTCTTCCCCTTCTTCCTGATCTGTGAGTGCCCTGATCCACTATGCGATCTATATCGTACCTTCCACCATCGATATCAGGCGGAATCGTTGATCTGCACGGAGGGCAACGATGTGTTTGATACACAAACGAAGAACTTGGAGGCGTGAAATAGAGGGTAAGTTCGCAGTGTGGAGGCACGTCTATGACATATAATATGGGCCTTTGGCATGTCCGACTACATCCGGTACTTCTCATGGTCCTCTATACGTGGGTAGCGGTTTCTGAGAAATACCTTCCTCTGGCATGAACTCTCTGGACTTGAGCCAGACTAATTGCTTTTACCGAACTGCGGTGGCCTTCTATGTTTATTAGGTTGTTCTACCATCTTCTCCTAGGCCTGCCTGATATCCTCAGCAACTCTCTAGAGGTCTTTCTCGTGCTTCAGTGCCCAATTCATGGGTTCCGGTCGGTAGCATCTGATCTGGGTTTAGACGGTCTAAAGGTCTTTGTGGCTTCCACCCCCGTGTCATTCCTTCATTAGGAGTTTAACAGGTTGACAGATGCACTGAATAGCATTTACTATAGATACCTTTGGTAGCTGTTCGTCTGAATCTATCTGGTCAGGTCTAATGTATATGCATAGGGTTTCATGTAGCAGCTTGCCCATCTGTTCAGTATAGCCATTCCTTTCTGGGTGCCTACCTGTTTGTGATCCCTGCAACTTCATCGGTGCTTGAGCCACTGTGTACAAAACTCACTGATAAGGAGATCAGTCTTTGCTTTTGCGGGTAAGGGGATGAATTCTGCATACTTGCTGAACCGATTTACGACTACAATAACCCGACTGTTCCCGCCTTCGACTCTTTACCTTGGTGTCTATGAAGTCTATAAATACTGGTTCTCCGGGCTCAGAGGGGAATAGGTAACGGTCCAAGGGTGCTTCTGTCATACTCTTGTTCCATTGATAGACTTTACACCCTTGGATGTATCGAATGCAGTCTGGTTTCATTCCTGCCCACATATGAGATCTAACTATGTTCGTATACGTCTTCCTCCACCGAAAGCATCCCTCAGCATCATGGCACTCTCCGAACACTATGCTGCGAATCTCCTCACTGTTCGGGATGCACTCTGTCTACACTGTTGGATGTCAGAGATAGCGGATCATTCGCGACTCTATATTTAGGCACTTTGTGATGTAAAGCTGCTTCGATTTCGGATCTACTCATCTGGGTGGAACAGATAGCAGGGGGGAAATACCCACTTCATGAATCACTGAGTTTTTCTGTGCCATTTGTGAAAAGATTAAAAAAAAATAAAAATGACCGTCAAAAGATCTGTTTCCTATATAATGCACCCTTGTTGGACCTGAAAGATAGCTTGTATATGACTACTAACGTTCAAGAAAACAATGCACCTTTGTCATGGCATTGGGAAAAGCTCCATTGTTGAGAACATTACGCACCCTTGTCATGACCGTATCGGACCTGAAAAATAACTTGTACACAGCGGAGAACACAACACACCCTCGTCACAAAAGCTTCATGTCGAGAACACAACGCAGCCTCATCGTGACTCTATGAGACCTGAAAGATAACCAGCATACATTCGAGAACATAACGCACCGTCATCACAAGTTGGCATTAGTGAACACAACACACCCATCAATTTTTGGGGCGCACTGTTGAGCACGGCCCCAATTTCCTTTTTCTCCTGTCAACCCATATTGTTTTCAGGGGAGGATTGGGGTGTGCCACCACTCACCACCCCTCCCCCATTTTTCTATTGAACGCCTACTTTTGGGGGATGAGCTGCCCTCTGTCCGCACACATGGGCGTGCATGTGTCCATGTGTGCATGAGGTGCGCCATAAGTATGCTTTTGATGTTGTGTCATGTGTGTTCTTACTATTACAGAATTTGCAATTGCACATTTCTCATTGTTTTTTCTTTTTCATTCCTGTTGTTTGGGATTCTCGGCTACCACGCTTTTGCAGGGGGCCTTCCTTGTGATTTTCTGGGTGTGGCACGCTCACCAGTTGTTGATGGGTATCGAAACAAGTGCGAGTTTGCCATTGGGTATTCCGCTGACAACAAGCCAACGGTAATGATGTCATTCATCTTTGCAACTGCTCCGAGAGGTTGAATGATGGACATTCGTTGGTTTTCGTTCCCCCGCCACCCCCCACCCCCCCCAACTTTCTTTTTCCTCTTTATAAAAGCTGCCATAAACCGGTTAAAAAACCCAACACAGGAACAGTTCCCAAAGCAATTCTTGTAGTCAAGTCTGGGCATTCAGAGCGTGTCTGCAGAGTCCCAGAGTCGGTCAAAATTGCCCTCAGACCAGTTGACTAAGGGTCCTGTTGGTGTCTCAGTCAAAGAGCCTTCAAGAGGCAGCTTTGGGAAATCCTGACAGAGCAAGAAAATGGGGTGACAACCGACATGAAAACAAGTCTTGGGTTAGGGTATAGGTTAAGAAATCAAGCAGAAGATCCCCAACGGATTATTACAGTGAGATGGAAGAAAAATGTGGGAGTAAACGCAGGTCGGGCGGGCAAAATCCCATGGAACCAGTATGCCAGCATAAAACCGGCAAGGATCAGAAGTCTGCAATGGCTAATAATCTATGTGTCCCCCTAGGCCGCGGCCGCCTCCGACTCGACCGCGGCCGAGGAGGCCGGCCCGCGGCCTAGGTTTTTCGCGGCCGCGCTACAGCCAGGCGGCGGCGCGCGCAGGAAAACGGTGCGCACGCGCGTCCTGCGCATGTCGGCCGCTGTCGGCCTGTGCAAAAAAAATAAAAATAAAAAGAAAATTGGGGGGGGGGTGGTTTTTGACGTGTGACAAAAAAAATAAAAAAAAATAAAAATAAATAAATTCATTGATTGATTGTTTTTTTATTGATTGATTGATTCATTGATTGATTGATTGATTGATGGGTTGATTGATTGATTGATTGATTGATTGATTGAATGATTGATTGATTGATTGGTGGGGAAGGGGTCCTCCCTCCCCTCCCCGGCACACGCACACACACACACACACACACATGCGCACACACACACACACATACACATACACACACACATCACACATCACACACACACACACACACA